AGAAGGGGTGCAAGCCATTGCTTGCTAGCAGGGCGCACGCTGAGCATGGAGGATACGATTTTTGTCTCCAAGAGTTGATCAAATTAGTCTATGGGTATATTGTTCCTGCCAAGAACGCAACCTAGGAATATGTACGTCCCTCTTTCCCTGCATTTGTCGCTGCTGCTAATTTTTATTTCCATACTCTAGTGTTGTCTCCAATTTCTTGAAATCACTTCTCTCTATGATTAACGACACTAGGTTCATTCTATTACTCGCATTCCTTTCAAATATTTCCTCTTTTCAACTTGTTTTCCTCCCTTCGTTCTTGCTTAGCGCATCTTCTATATGCTTATCGGGTTATCTTTATTGCACATCTTTATCGCACGCTGGACGTAGCTGATAGATCATATCCCACCATAGCGCTCGGCTTACCTTACATATGGTTGTCGGCTGGGATGGAAGTTGGAAGTAGCTGTATCGTATCTCGCGGATCTTTGCATTGCATTTGTGTCTTCCCTGACACTGTCTATACAGTCTATTGAGTGTCACCTGCACAATTTTTAGATATCTGGATGCTTGCGACTGATCCATTTCCACTTGATGCTTGGCCCGTCGCTCAGTCTAACCCTCAGTCTGGTGACCTTCTTTCCAAATCTGCAAGAATCAATGAGCCAATTCTTGATTTTTGAATTATACCAGCAGCCCGGGGACCAGAATACGAGATTTATCCATTTGTCGGGGCAATTGTCCTAGAGTTGTCGTCGTTGCTTCTGTTCACTATATGGCTGATAGGTTTGTGCTACGCACGTCAGATCCAATGAATAATGACACACGACTGGATAGTTGCAGTTATCGTGTATCTGGAAGGCTACGCTACTCACACATACGCGGTAGAATATGCCAGGCTGGTCGGTCCTAACATGATAATTGACACGGAAATGAATGTAATCCTTCACCGATGTCTCTGTTCGTGTCGAGCTCGATCCTACATTGACGATATCACCTGGTGGGATGCGTCTGGTACACAACGTCCGTACGCCCCCGCCGGGACCATTTCATCAGCACTACCGGCAAAAGAATATAATTAAATAGAGTAAATACCAGCATGTACTGTCCAGCATAGGGCCCCGCCCCACCGGACAATAAACCAGGATTTTTTTTTTAAAAAAAAAACGTCCGTACGCGAACATGTTCTGTGTTTTTGAAGGATAAGCAGATTCATTAGCAAACGGTGTATAGGTGAGGTCTGGCGCGGGCCCTCTGTGAGAGTGCTTGGGGCCCTGGCTTCTCCGTAATCCACGATTCCATAAAGATTCAAGGACTGATACGCCGATGGTGGACATCAAAAAAATACTGGAATACTATGTTCACTTCTGGTTTAGCGTTTGTTTCTCCTCTCTCTGTCGCCACCACTCCGGCGCCGTGTTGGCACGGGACTTCTCCAGCTTTTGGAGCTTGTCGAGCTCTGCCTTGATGAAAGCCTCCAAGCCAGCAGTGACACTCTCTAATCCCTGCTTGGGATCTGAAGATGGCGGCCACTGGGTCACCTCCACAGAGCCACTTTGCATCTGGTCCTCAATAGAAGTAAGATTCTAATCATGAATGAGTATATGGGTCTAAACTCAGGCTGAGAACAAACCTTGATCACGTCTTTCAACTGGACGATCGCTTGCCCCTGATTCATCCACTCCCGAATCGAGTTGACCTCCTCAGCAGTCCACTCGCGCACCCTGGGGTCATCCATATGCACGCTAACACCTGCTGCTCCCTTTGGATGCACCAGCTTCTCTGCACCACCAGGCTCGCTAAATAGCCCATCGAACCACGATGCAACATTTGCAGAAGCGTTTCTATCGTGTTTGGGAGCGAGGACGCGGGCCTTCGCATGCGGTGATGGAGTATCGCCTACAAACAAGTAGTCATAACCAATGTATTTTTCCAAGTCAAACCGATGTTCTTCTGATTGTTCGGGAGGATCGGAGACTTGTATGAAAAACCGGCCCTTGTACATAGGATATTGTCAGTGTTATAGAGTTTGATTTTGAAAAACATACGGGTTCACTGTATGCTTCTATGACGAACGTGGACTCGAACCGTTGAACCATTGGAAATTGAACCAAATAAAGCGGTATCAGGACTGGGTAGGCAGCCTCCTGCTCTGGGGTGAGGAGGAAAAGGGTGCGTCAGAAGAGATGACATACTATATTGGTTTTTATGAACCGTGGCTCGAAACGTGCATCTTCATCAGTAGTAGCATGAGTGAAGGACGAAGGCCGTGTACTGCTAATAACGTCGAGTGGGCTGATAGTGTAGGGCATGCATATAACATCAGAACCGTGTTGACGCGTGAGGCTCCGAGAAAATGGAACGGCCAAGGCAGGCTCTACTTGGTCATTTCGGAGAGCAAGCCTCCCAAGCAGGTCCAATGTAGCGCCTTATGAAAGTGATCAACCTCACTGGTATGCCTGGTGTGGGGAGATCGCACCTGGTAAGTAACTATATGGAATTTGTCAACTCAGAAGAATATTGATAAATGAGCTAGTATACCAGTCGTTGAAATACGCGGTCACAATTCGCTGCGAGACTCCCGCTTGAATGAATGTAACAGGAAGAGGTGCTAGAATATACCTGCCGCTCGTCATCTTCATCGGTCAAGTATGACTCGACTTCTGCGTCCAAAAACCAAGCAGGAAAATAAACAGGTTGAATGCGGATGGGTTGGATTGGCTGAAAGTTTCCACCTATATACTTTGCACCAAGCGACCCAATGAAATCGCGAAATAAGCAACCTGCGGAAGCAGCTACACCGACATGTCTGATAGCAGCCTCCTTTGAAAACGCGAATGGAATGGCTGAAATATGCCAGTCAGTAGCCTGCAGAGAGTAGAGACAAATGCAGGTGACCTCTGACTTTTGGATGATATTGCGGTACGTTTTGTGAGTAGCTTCGCGGAGAAGACGTGCAGTTAAGACCGCGCACAATAGCCCCTGCTCGTCGTCGCAGCATTAGTGCTTCTGGACAAAAACTCTTAGACCGAACGATGACCATGCCGGCCACCCAGAAAAGGAAAGTCGGTTATTTGCCACGTGACCCTCTGCGATATACGTGTACCGCAAATTGGCAGCTGCAAATCATTTGCTGTCCAACTTCCGTCCCTCCCTTTCCTGAAGGCCTCGGTCTGCAATGCATTTGGCTTCACACGTAGCCATTCTATGGCTGCTTTTTGTTGTTCTTGTCAGCGCAACCGATCTATACAAAGTTCTTGAGCGTCAGTCCAAGGCGTGTACCAACTGGTTTTGACTCGCGTCTAACTGATATACTCGGCATTCAGTGTCCAAACATGCATCGGAGCAGGATATTCGCAAGGCATACAAGCGTCTGAGCAAGCAATATCACCCTGACAAAAATACGGATCCAGGGGCAGAGGAGAAATTCGTTCATATCGCTCATGGTAAATCGAGTTGCACCCGTTTCCATAGAATGGTATCCTCATGATTCTACATCAGCATACGAAGTCCTTTCAGACTCCACGGTACGCAAAAGTCTTAAGGATTTCTTGAAGTCCGCTCAAAATTATTCAGAAACGCCAAATTTATGATAGGCATGGTGAAGTGAGTTCAGTATCCACTCATTATAGATTCATTCGGATATGAACACGCGCTCCGCATACAGGAAGGATTGAAAGCGCACGAAGGTGGACAACAACATCACGCCAACCCTTTCGATTTATTTTCCAACTTCTTTGGTGGTACTTGTGGGTTTGCGGCTCCTAGTTACTAACACTTTGCGCTGATCAGTATGCAGTCAATACACAGCAGCAAGTGCGCCGTGGACAAACTGTTGTCATTGAATTCGAGGTTTCACTTGCAGATATGTAAGCTCATCCCCGCATTTCTGCAACGGTTAACTGATGAGCAGCGCAGGTATACAGGTGCCAATATTGACGTTCGTCTTGACTTAGTCTTTCACATTGTTACTCAGTCGAATTGACACTTCGCCCTCAACAGTTCACCATGAGGAAAAAGATACTTTGTGATCACTGTCGCGGCTCAGGCGCTGCTTCAGACGGTGACATTGATACTTGTTCAGGATGTGGTGGATCCGGCGTGAAAACCTTCAAACAGCAAATATTCCCCGGCATGTTTGCACAGACACAATCAACATGTAACGATTGCGGTGGCCGTGGAAGGGTTATCAAGAAACAATGTCCACACTGTAAAGGGGAGAAGGTGGTTGAACATACGCAACAGTATACTTTGGAGTTAAAACCAGGTACACCAGAAGGTCATGACATCGTATTTGATGGAGAGGGAGATGAAAGCCCAGACTGGGAGGCTGGCGATGTTGTTTTGAGAGTGCGAAGTAGGAAGGAGAAAGGTGCTTGGCGACGGAAAGAGAGCAGCCTGTACTGGCGGGAGACCATTGGCGTTGACCAGGTAAGCCCGGTTGATACCGCCTCCTCCGATAACTTACTGTGCCTGCTTGAAATGTAGGCACTCCTCGGATTTCAACGCAATATCACGCATCTCGATGGTCACGTCATTGAGATAGATCGCCAAGGAGTGACCCAACCTGGTGAGCTGCTATCGCTTATTCGCCTAGCCTATGAGGGTGATGTTCAACCTAATCACAGGTTATGTTCAAACTATGGAGGGCGAGGGGATGCCCTTGTATCAGACAGACAGTTTTGGCGACCTCTTTATAGAGTACAATGTCGTGCTACCTGTTGAACTCCACTCAGACATTCGTCGAAGTAAGTGATATTTCAACCTTACTATGGTATTGTTCGTCGTTTTGACCGCATTTCGTAGAACTCGCCGAAGCATTTTACGGATCAGGCCACCGTGATAGAGATGAACTTTAGATATATTTTTCGTAATTTATTTTTTTCCGTGATCAGTTTGTGTGAAGTGTTTGCCATATCAAGTATTTGGGGCTGTGATCCAGTGTTTCTAACCTGCCCTAAGGTCAGGTTACATATAAGATAAGCTGAATCGCTATTAGGTCCTTTGGTTCCGGACCCCTTCGGCATGGACGAGGTTGGTCATGTCTCTGCACTCTAGTCCTTTGACTGAACCTTTTACAGTGTTCCTATGAAGCCGTTGTTTAGTGCTAGTCCCTACGCTGCGAAAGTATCGGGCAGTAGGAGATAGTAATTGTTAGCCAGGATGATCTTTGGAAGACAGTCTAGGCAGAGTGGCCCCTTGTCTGCATCGAGGTTAGTCTAACGTTGTTGGAATCTTCAGCAAAACTCATGAATTTCGCAGTGGATTTTGGGCAAATTATGGTGGATGAAGTGTGTTTACTTCGTCTGCAGACAGTTTGTTGGCAGCCTTTTCAAGCTGGCCTTCAGTGAGTCAAAATCTCCGAATAGGCTGTGATATCTTGTTGACAACTTCTCAGCTAGTTATTGACATGTGCCTTGGCCTGCAGCCATGGTGGTGTGCATGCTCGTACGCGGCGGGCATTGCTGCATCATGTTGTGGTGTAGATTCAGAGCGCGTGCTGCTCATGGGTGTTACCCATGAAGTTACCTTCAAATCAATTAACCCAGGACGAAAGTCTCTGACGGGCACACTTTCAAGGGTTACTCTTTGGTCGTGTTTCCCATCAGAGCCTACATGTTGCTTTGTCAAGTATAGCAGTATGTAGCAATGCATTTCATTGTAAAAAATGTGTGCGGAAAGTGAGACTGTCGGAGTGCTGGTACAACCCTAAGCATGTTAAGTCGTCCTTCCACGACCCAGTGTAAATCATCGTTACCTAGTGAATATGTAATAATCCACTCGTCATCCAGAGGGATTGCACAAACTGTGCGGGAGGAACCATTACTTATGATGGCTTGTATAATATTTGTCGTCATGAATCCATGCCTCATGCCTGAATGGCAACGATGAGATGGGGAAACATGTTAATATCACAAACACGCACAAGATAATTATACGACTTGCGATCTTCACAGCGCTCAAGATACTCTCGCTGCGCCAGATGTAGATTAGATCATGGACATTAAATGAGCAATGTTACTCACATCGATTAATCCTTCAATTCGTTTCTTGATATTCTGAGGGTTGGGTTGGAATCGAGAGGCAAGCTGTCGAGTGACTTCATTGACGAGGTCATTATGTGTCAAGTGCTTTCTATCTTTCATGATGCGAACGATGCACGCCTAAGAAAGGGCGGACGTCAGAGTTCACGGGATATAATAAGATTGACTGTAAGCCTCACCTCGATTTGATGATGTCTTTCCTCTTCGATACGGTCGCGAGTTTCTCTCCGTTCCTTAATGGTTTCCACCTTGGCGGACACCGTGCTGATTTTAATCTTTTGCATTGGACATGTGAAATCATTGTTGAACGAAAATGAGTCCGATGGATGAACATCTCGTCCAGGGGGATGTTTCTTGAGAATCTTGAATTTTGCACATGCTAGGGATTGCAAGTGCCGTTGAAGCTCAGTATCTGGAATTGAAGTAGCAGTTTTCAGCTCCTGATCAAAAGCGTCAGATAGATCAAAGCATCGTAAGCTGGTGAGAACCCCCACCTCGTATGTGAGAAATCCATCGTCTGCCAAATTCTCGAAAAGCAGCAAGATCACGAGTGCAAATGTCGACACGTTAATATCGTGCTTCCTGGCCTTGAACTGAACACGAACATCGGCATTTCCGAGCGAGGGTTGCCACGCGAGGCGTCGCCCTGAGTGGCGGGCAAAATAGAAATGCTCGAATGACTTGCAAGCCCTAATTAAAATTTCGGGGAAAACGCAAGATGCACTAGAATGCGACATGGGCCAGAAAGTCGACGTCATCACGGTCACAGAGATCTCCACTTCAGGTGCCTAAAAGTCCATTGAATAAAAGCAGTAAGACAAGATCACCGCGCCTACTGAAACGCCTTCAAGGTACTTGCGGTAGGCTTGCATGGTATCAGCGGATATCTTCATATCGTGGAACATGCCCTCCAGCTTTTGAGTGAACTGATACCCGCACTCAACTTTGAGCTTCGCCAGCATGCCTCTTTCAGCATCATCGGAGACCGACCTGCCCAGTAGCAACCGTTTGGCAAGATGATTCTTGTAGTATCGCTCGAAGGCGTCCTTCTCTGTTATGTACCGGAAAACCGTGATGGTCTTGTCCAAGACAGCATCGACCTCCATATCGGTTTTCTGAAAAAAATTGATGAGCGCGAGAATTATGGGAGTTGGGTTACTGACGCCTTTGAGGCCCTTCTTGAGGTTTTCATCGATGAAGAGCGATATGTACTCTGGTGCTTTCTCATTTAGGTTGATGAAGTCTTCAAATGCCTTGTCACCCACATTAGGATATACAGGAACTACAGAACAGAACACTGACCTCATTTAAAGAGCTTTCCACATCTCGATTTTTATCGAATGCCCGAGCCCAAACGCAGTCGAATTTATCTTTCAGATCGAGCACAGTCTGTACCCATTTCAGGGCCAGTGTCAATGTCGGAGGCCCAGTAGCAGTGCGACCCTGACCCTTGTCTTTTCCTTTCGTATTTTCAGCGTCATTAAGGTCACCATCGTCCACGTCTTGGCCAGTGTCAATACTCGCGGAAGCAAGATTGATCTCTCTTCCTCTCCGTAAGATTGAATCCTTGAACGACCTTCTTAGGGTAGGCATTCCGCTAGGAACCATGAGAAATAGACGGTACAAGCGATTGAGGTCATCAAATTTATCGAGGTCTACCATGACATCGAGACCAGAATTGGGCATGCCAATAACACTCGACAGATTATGTGTTAATAAATGGCGTTCGAGAATCTTTCGGAGAGGAACACCAGTTTGGGAGAAGAGGTAATGATACGTTCGCGCTTGTTCTGAATCGAAACGTGCCTCGACCTGCATGTCATGAGGATAACCTGAATTCTTTGAGTGGAAAGATCACATACTCTTCGCAGATACTCTGGTGCATTACAAGTCTCCAGAAGTCGTTTACCTTCAGCGGAATAGAATGTTTCGCTGGCTGTAAGCACAGCTGGTTCTAGATCCCGCTTGTAGACGGTTTTGGCATCATGATCGACGCTCAGCTGCAGAAGGACGTCGACGCACTCCTTCACCACAGAGCGGCTGATGACATATCCGTCACGCTCAATTTGGATTAAGCTAAGGACTGCGGAGGTGACATGGTCCTGTATTGGGGGTCGTATGATGTGCTTCAAGAAGATATCTAGGCCAGCATCCCAGATTTCTGGGACAATCATTAGCCTTTGTATAGACGCGATCCTATGGACGTTTCCGCGTGAGTAATTAGTGGATACGGCGATGGAATGCTCACCATGTACTTGAGAATATCTCGAAGCTTCGACATATTGCCAGTATGATCATCCCATACACGTCTGAGAGCCTTCAGTAACGACTCTCCCTCTTGACTTTGTTGCACAGGATCCTTGCTGCTACCACTGGGAAAAGCAGGAATGATTTCGCTTTGTGCTAATCTGTCGATGTTCTCCGCCACCAGTTGACAGACTCCCTTATATAATACAGCACCATTCTTATACAGCACCATATTGTAGGCGTAGCGATAGTTCTCCTCGAATGAAAGGTTTGATGCATTCTGGTTATGGATTTCACGAATATTCGTTGAGAGGCGGGACCAAGTTTCATCCAATGATACTTCTGATTCGTGCTGAGATCGCTTATCAGTTGCGAGCAGCCTTTGTTTCACAAATCGCTTACCTTGCGGGGCGGTTTCTATCCAAAAGATTCATTGTCAGGAATGAATGGCTGACGGAATGTAACACGCACGATTTTTGTCTTCACCGTGCGGCGTGCTGACAATCAACCAGCTCAGTAGATTCTCTACATTCGAAAGTTCGTAACCCACTAGAAGCCATCGTTCGCGTAGTAGCTCAGCAGTAATTGTAAGCTCCCCTTGAGGCAGACCATAGAAGGAGGATCAATTACTTGTTCCTTCTTGAATGGTACTCCGGTATCACTCTCCGACTTCTATTTCTGTAATATTTGCCTCTATTGAAACCAGAAGCTGTCGCCAAATATCTCACAACCAACTTCGAACGGAAAACATGACAAACGGGTGATATTCTTGCGATAAATGCGGATGCAATTACTAAAACAAATGAACAAGAAACCAAAATCACTCCGACATGCTATGAGGAAGCCTGCGATCGAGATGAACGAACGAAATCAGCAAAGTACTTCCGAAATGCCTTGTTATCAAGGTCTTGAAGTTTGCCTGTGAACTCCATGGCGGTATCTGGTGGCCAACCTTGCGAAGGAAGGAAGGCAGACAAAAAGAAATCCTGTGCTTCCTGTCCTCTAGTTTTGCAGACTATCTGGAGGAAGTTGCCAATTTCCAATAGAACCTAAACCAGATGTTAGATATGAAATGGGCGGCAAATGCTACATTGGTACATACAACCATCATCTGTCCATCCTTGATATTAAACTGGGGCGATGAAAGCACTACGAAGGCTGTGGGAACGAGACGTTCGTAGACGAATCGCTCAAAGCCGGGTACACCCTGGATTTGACCGTCAGCTGCTGTAGCTGGTTGGCACCAGACCTGAACACAGCGACTAAGGAATGCGAAAGCAGATTTCTGGCTACTCGAGTCTGAAATATCTTCTGCCAATCGACTCATGCTGATCAACAGAGGTTCGAAAGTGGCTTTGTTGCCTACACAAATTTGAGACTAACCCACAACAGTCACACGGAAACTTACGATCAGAGATAAAAATGTCATGAAGATCGGAGGACATGACGTTGGTCAACAACGTCAGATAGGCACGCTTAGTTTCTGCATGTTCAACACTGTCGTCAGTACCTGTGACGGGCTGATTGAGCAGCTGGGTGATGTGAGCGCTTAGAGGTCCAATGAGCTCGTCCAAAACATTGAAAAGTTCGCTCTGTTGGCATAAAGTCAGATTTGAATGCACAAGTAAGCGAGATCCTCACCTGAAGCTTGTGAATCAGCAACCCAATGAAGTTCATGAAGTCGACGAGCTCAGAGGGTTCGAATTGTGCAAGAAGGTTGGCCATCAAAGGTGGGATCAAGTGAGTAACACTGGATCCTGTCGTGGCGATGATTCGCGCAAACGCATGTCGTGTCTGCAGATGATCAGCTTGGGATGTGTCAAGAACAAAACACCAACTCACTGCGTCGCGGACATATTTGAAAACGTTCATGGCCTCCAGACATGATAAAATAGCCTGTGCAACCTGCCGAAACACGTCTAACGATGGAAGACAATATCCCTCCGGCACCGGAGAAGGATAATCTGGAAATCCTTTCGCAACATTGCCGAGCGCCATGATGCTGTGATGAATGCGAAGGATTGGAATGGGATCTTTCCCCCCTTTTGCCGCTGTCAAATTTGAAGAAAGCTCATCTAGTAGCGGTGTCACGATCGAGAGTAACATGCTTGCTTGCTGATCGGAAGATTTTGACACCAAGGATATGAGTGTGCCCAAAGTTTCAAACAAATACAGCTGCGAGTCGAACAATCCAGGATTTTTTATCGCCTCCGCTAAGAGATCGTCATCGGGACTATCAAGAGTCGGTAGGTCTACTTGAATGGTTAGCAGATCCCTGATGCCCTGCACGAGGTTGACTGCGAGTTCCTCGGAAATGTCGTTTCGGCTTTCTTTGATGAACCGGTGGAAAAGATAATATGTCCGCGACCGAACTGTGCTATCTGGGTTGTGGAGTCCTCTAAACCATGTATATCAGTAGTGTAACACCGTCGCATGTCAGTTCGTGCCTACCGAGCATCAACAATAGCCTCGAGTGTTGGCATAATGCACTCTTTGCGGATCTTAAAGAAATCTCCATAACGGGCCACAGTTTCAAAGAACTGCATGGCAACTAAGCGGTGAGGGAACGCAGATATACTACTCTGTACCAGAGCCAGTAACATCTCCCCATGAGGGGTTAACGGATATTCAGAATAATCTACTTCGCGACGTTTCTCTTTTGGCACGAGGGGAGCGACGCAAAAGGCTGCACGGCCCTTTCCTCCCGCTGTGAAATTGAGTCATGAGATGAGGCTTGAGTAGTCACAGTAAGATATCCCCTACTTTTCACAATCTCGCCGAAAATGTACACGAGATAAACCGCTAGTTCAGCGTCATTCCAATTCAGCGACACCCCGCTGCGATAGGCAGACAATGTTTGCAAAGACAGTGTTCTGACCGCATTAGTGACAAGGTCTTGGTCAATTGTGAACACGGCATCCATCGACAATCTGAGATCCTGCAAAGAAAGTCAACGGGCTAGAAGTGGCAAGTAATATCGAAGCAACCTTGCGGAGGGTTTCAAATGCACTAAAATCATCATCGTCTAAATCGCTAGGATCTTCCTCGTCATCCCACTTCATCTTCTGCATAATGACTTGGAGCAAAGATACGAGGAATGATCGTTTCGATTCTTCCAGTGGATCCGTGGACACTTTCCGGGAGCGCTTGTACTGAAATAGCAATCAGTCTTGCAGCAAAGTTTGTCAGAGTAGATATGGACTCACGCTTGCAAGGACAGTCTGCAGCAAGGGAAATACTGTCGAGCACGTGTCATCATATTTATCTGACATAAATCGCAACATGACGGGTAAAATCTGCTCCAACAGACGTGTAGCATCTGCCGCAACCTCAGGTTTTTCGCATTCCTATGCGAAATCATTAGCCCGCTGAAGTGTCAAAAGCTCAAAGGTCAAACTTACCACCTCAGTCAATTTTGACAACTCAAGGCCCAAGACATTCAGCAGGCGACCGAGGGCCTCTCGGTAAGACTCTTCCCCTTCATCTTCGTTGGATCCTCGTGCAACTTGTTCCGCACGTGTTTTTGATTCGAGCGCGTCGATAACTTGACCGAGGGCCAATACTTTGACAAGCTGCAGCTTGTCTTCCGGTTCCTTGAGACCCTTTGCTATAATGCGTAGCAAGGCCGTCGATGTTGCAAGGCGAATAGCAAGATTGGGGTCAGGGAGCAGTGAAAACAAGAGAGGTATAGTTATGGGTGTGATAGTTAAATTGATATCAATCCATCCTGTCAGTATCGTCAGCACAAAGTCTGATGGTCACGACTGATCTCGTACCTGCGTACGAACCAAACGTCCTAATACCCCAATCGACTATCTCTAGAGCCTCGGAAAGCTCGGGCGAAGATGTTGTCATTTTTCTGAGCGCCGCTAACCGTTCCGTCCCATCAACAACGATCGTCAATACCGCTTCATTGATCAATGGTGCATCTCGCTCTCGGACAGCATCTCTGACACGAGAGTCTCGTGTATGCCGAACAGGGTTGAATGTCCTCGCAGACTTGATTGTTTGATCTGCAACTTCACCGGAGATCTCTGAGATGAGGTGGAAAAGAAGAAGCGAGACGTGGCGATTGAATTGTGGCTGGGAAGGAGACTCGGGGAGACGGATGAGAGAGAAAAGATCGGTGAAGAATGTTGGCCACTGTTCGACGTATGTGCATAGGAAGAATAATGTGAGTGTATGCGAAAACTTGTTGCGAAGATCTGCAAGTCATTGTGAATGTTTCTGAAAAGATCGATGTATGACGAGCTCATACATGATGCATTAGATTCAGCCGAGCCATAGACATATTCAGAATGTACATAAGATATCATGGATTGTTGCAGAGTACGAAATGAGTCTTCGTCAAGAGGTTCGAACCTGTAAGACGAGCGATAAATCAGAGTCATTCCAACTTCATTATATGGAAAATAAAGGCGAGTTTTCATATTTAATATTCTTAACGCGGCCTTTCCTGCAAATGAAACAAAAATCACTTACCGATTGTCAAGGAACTCATCTAACAAGCGTAAAGAATAGAATCTGACTGATTCAGGGTATTTATTACCCTCCGGGGTCGCGCCCGTGAACGCTGTCAAGGCCAGTCGCCACGTTTCGTTCGCATTTTGGCGGAGGTTGGATAGGTACTCAAAGGCCTGCTGGTGGAGATGATTTTGCGAGGGTTCAGACGCAATGCAAATTGCCTCCACATAACGGTGAATTTCTTCTTCCATTGCTGTAGCCGAATCGTCTACCAGATACAGCACGTCCCCGGGTGCTCGCGGTCAATTGAATTGTAACGCGAGGAGATTCGATGAAAGTCAGATATTTTGGAAGATGAGCGGGGGTGGTAGCAGATTGTCCAAAGCAAACGTTGCAAGCTTGTCGCAAGCCGGGCCAATATTTGCTCGTGTGGTGACTCTAGTAGCTGATCACGATTGCAGTGGCAGTGTAAATTTATGACTTCCAACGCATCACGTGGCTTACGTATAGACCAGCTTCTCGTCATCTGCACAGGGGTAAATTGAAGTTGCAATGTAAGTATACGATTTTTGACGGTATGGACACAATTATATTCGCGTCTCCTCTTCCAAATCATAGTCTTTAAATCAGTGCATAGAATAGTCATGATATCTCCGTGTTGTGATCCCCGAAATCGACCAGTTCTCGGGGTTGCGTTCCTACAAGGTGCTGAAAGTGGCGCACCATCCATCTTGTACGAGTCGAGACGTTATGATGGCTCACAGTCGCCATGCGCGAGCTAAATTCCCCTTGAAAGGTTATCAACAGTTTCTGCGTAGGAGTGTTTCTAAAAACGAAAGCATCCACTTTATTAGAAAGAATGACTGTCTCCCTTCGTCTGGAAAGGGCTGCCTGGGGGAGACTAGGGAGACTGGGACGTCCACGATTGCACGAAGGTAATCACCTAGCAGATTCAACAGCGTGTCAACGTGGATTGATCTGTGGGAGACATGCTAGTCTGCGGATCCTATAGTATGCAGACCACGACACGTCTACGTGTTCGGCCACGCATGTTCAACGTGTGGCTACTGGAGCTTAGTACCTTGTGTATGACTCA